ATTTCGAACGTCACGGAAAATCAAATTCAGTTTCGGCCGGAAACTACAGCGATCACAAGCATACACGTGAAGAGAACAAGAAGACACACAAGTTGCGTGCTGGAAGCAAGGAAACCGGCTGTTATCCATCGAAGTTATATCATTCGCCGAAAATACACGGGAGATTCGATACCATCTCATCACAACGAGCAGAACTACATCAACGGCGATCAAGATAAGTCGCCGACACAGGCGTTGCAAGCGAGAGGTCCCATACATCAATCGATAGAGGACATTCTAGCCGCATCGTCTGAGTATTAGTGCAAGACTTCTAACTCCAAGAAATTGGTGAGATAGGTTGATTCGATGGATACAGTGCTACTGTGAAAGAAACACAAAAATCACAGGGAAGCTCATAAGTATCACGGAGAAGCAAAACTCCACCGTACAACTGTTTCGAGTGCTCAAACTCACACCGTGTAATATCCAAGCATACACAAGTCATTGCAGATAGCAGAGAGCAACAGAAAGACCAACAGAGGCAGTTCCGCTACTACCCAGTCGCCAACAAGAACAGAGACACACGAGTTCCACAGAACTACGTGAGCTGTCACAGACAAAGAGGCTATTCAGCAGTACAACCAGTGTGACAAAAAGAGGCTATCCCAGCCACAAAACTTTTACAGGCAACTACAAAAGTAGTGCCCGTCGTGAGATCCTTTTATTTTTCCTGCAGGAGTATCACACAAGAACAGTCCCACGAGAACACACAACTAGTTCCAAGGAAAAGCAACCACAAGAGTGCATACCACACCAGCAGAGACCATGAGATTTCCAAGGTAAGAGGTGGTCGTGTGGAGAGAAGATACCCTTCTAGGGGGGTAGGGGATTAAATTCCTCAGGAAGAAGCCATACAAGGAAGAGGCAACAGCTACAGGAACAGAACCAAGAGTCCCAAGCGTCAGTTCCTCTTCCATCAAATGGACAGGCTGACACCGGAGTATTATCCTTTTGAGGAGACCCTGACACCATTGTCCAGGACCTAAGGATCAAGCCTGAGTGGAGATGATGTGCCACTGGCTCATTGGCATTGAGACCATGAAGAGTCAGGCACACATCCAAGCCGGAGAAGCCGACACTTCAGGCATCACTTGTTGATCCCAAATTGCCAAGAAGTACGATGCTTTGGAACTCAGCGAGTACAAGGCAAATCATCCATCTACGACAAGATCGACTCGATCTATGACGAACATTCTCAAAACTGGTGCAACCACCATACAGTGTGTCATACTGTACCGAAGCTTAATGAAGTCCAAGTTGAGAGAAATGTTCTCATAGGATCGAGTCGACTTATCGTAGATGGATGACTTTGCCTTGTACTCGCTGAGTTCCAAAGCATCGTACTCTTGCACTTTGGGATCAGAAAGTGATGCCTGAAGTGTCGGCTTCTCCGGCTTGGGTGGTGCCTGACTTTTCATAGTCTCAATGGCCAATGAAGCCCGTGGCACATCATTCCACTCAGGCATGATCCTTAGGTCCTGGAACATGTGTGTCAGGGTCTCCTCAAAAGGATAATACCTGTGGTCAGCCTGTCCATTTGGATGGAGGAGGAACTGACGCTTGGAACTCTTTGTCTGGTTCCTGTAGCTGTTGCCTCTTCCTTGATGGCTTCTTCCTGAGGAATTGAATCCCCTAACCCCCCTAGAAGGGTATCTTCCTCCACCACGACCACCTCATCCTTGGAATCTCATGGTCTTGCTTTTGGTTGTGGTATGCCACTCTTGTGCTTGCTTGTTCCTTGGAACTAGCTTGTGTTTCTCGTTGGAACTGTTCTGTTGTGGATACTCCTGCAGAAGGATCTCACGACGGGCACTACTCTTGTAGTTGCCTGTAAAAGCTTCTTGTTGGCTGGATAGCCTTCTTTTCGTGCACTCTTGGTGTACTGGCTGAATAGCCTCTGTCTGTGACAGCTCACGTAGTTCTGTGGAACTCGTGGTGTTCTTGTATGGGACCTTGGGTAGTAGCGAACTGCCTCTGTTGGTCCTTTCGTTGCCTCTGTTCTTCTGCAGATGACCTTCGTATGCTTGGATAAGTACACGGTGTGAGTTTGAGCACTCGAAACAGTTGTACGGTGGAGTTTTGCTTCTCCGGGATACTTATGAGCTTCCTCGTGATTTTTGTGTTTCTCTTCACAGTAGCACTGTATCACTCGAATCAACCTATCTCACTCAATTCTTGGAGTTAGAAGCTTGCACTAATACTCAGACATGCGGCTAGATGTCCTCTATCGATTGATGTATGGGACCTCTCGCTTGCAACGCCTGTGTCGCGACTTATCTTGATCGCCGTTTGATGAGTTCTGCTCGTTATGATGAGACGGATGAAAATCACGCGCGATGACACGATGACGTAATCGACTATAACTCTCGCAATAACAGCCGGATTTCCTTGCTTCCAGCACGCAACTTGTGTGTCTTCTTGTTCTCTTCAACGTGGTATGCTTGGATCGCTGTAGTTCCGGCCGAAACTGACAGTTGATTTTCCGTGACGTCGAAATGAGAATGAAGATGGGAATCTTCCCGCGCACGCACCTCTTTCCTGTTATAGCTGTTTGGTATCCTTTATAGTGTAGCTAGAGCCTGATTCTGCGCACCTCTTCTCTGTTGCAGGTGTTAACTCACTTCAAGTCAATTGAACTTGATGTCTTTGACTTGGTTTACCTTGATATCGATCTCGAGATCGGTAGTAGCTCGAGATGGCCTTTTGCTTTTCAGTGTTGTTTGCTAGTAATACTGCAGCTTATTGGGGAGTAATTTGGTTTTAGATTAAGCTGAAAAGCAAAAGTGATCTTTCTGCTGGGTTGCAGGTTTATTCTTCAAGTTGAATGGATATAAGCTGCACGCAATACTTTAGACCTAAAACTCCCTCGGTTCCTTGCATCATGAATATGCATGCGAACCGGACTAGATGTTTAATACACGAGTCAATAGTAAAGAGGTGTCAGGTATGTTTCCTCCAACAGTAAGAGGCTTTCCCCTTCTTGATATTCCACTCGTCATTGGGGAAAGTGTCAATGGTTCCACCTTTCTCCACATGATCGTCAAATTGTTTGACTACCCTGAGGAGACCTGAACGGCCAAGTGGCACATACTTCTGTTTCAAAGTTTCTCGAACCACCTGACCACGATCACGACTGTTTTTCTTGAAGGAAGTGATCACAGCAATGCATTCCCGTCGATTATATACAGAACCATTAGCTGGAGTTGGAGCTAGTATAGTAGAATTGGGCGGTTCTTTGGCGTTAACCGGTGCTGCTTTTCTGGGGGTTGATGTAGTAGTGGTGGTTTGGATAGAACTGTCCAGGGTCATAGCTTGAACTTTCCCAATGGGCGTGGATGGTACATGTGAATTCGTTGGAGTGTTTTCCTTATTGACTTTAGTAATAATAGCCAATGTCCGGTCATCAAAGCCAGGAAAAGAAGCAAGCTTCTTCAAATTCTGGCTAATCTCAGATGAAGACTGCTTCAAGTACTGACTGACCGTTGTAAGTTCCTCGGCAGCTTTCCTCTTTTGAGGTGCGGTCGGTAAGTACATCATGAGCATCAGTTAATACTTTGGATGCCTCTGACATAGGTAGTCTTTCCTGTCTCAGTTAATTTTCCAAAGGAAGCAACCCCCGCATCGATTTTGGTGGTTCTTCTAACAGGAGTGGCCGGCAGGGCCTTCCTAGGGTTACTGGGACGCATCCCTGTAGGCATGGCTCTTTTGGTTGGCCCCACAGAGCAAACAGTGGGGACAGAGAATAGCTGACCTTAGTTGGACAGCAAAATTATGGGAAAATGGCTGCCCTACTTGGCTGGCCGTTCGTCACTTCCACAATCACAAAATAACCAAGCCACTACCACCACTGCGACCGGCACGTCCAAATTATGAATTCCCTATCTCAAAGTATTGCCAGGTTGACTCTATTGGTTAAACTGCTATGGGTGTATCTACCAACTCACTATGATGCTCAAAAAAGAATTTCTTCAAAAATGGGAGCCAGAGGAAACTGACTTGACTTGACGCCAAGGAAGTGCTCGGAGAGCTGCCGCTGCCCCTGCCGCTGCCGCTGGATCCAGAGAGCTGCCGATGCCACTCCGATTGCCGAATTTACCCCTTTTTTACCCCATCCTCGAGAGGTTCCGCTTAAGAATCCAGTGGTTGGAAGGATCCAGTGGTTGAGGCACGAGTAGCGAGGGTTGTCAAGCAGGCCCCAAATTTCTAAAGAATATTGCATTCCTTGAAGGCAGGATTTCTGAAGCTTTTAATTCATACGGTGCTGTACGGTGCAGTGCAGTGCGGTTCGGTGCGATGCACAAGGTACAAAAATCGTGAACAAAAATTGTCTGCAAAATACTAAAAGACTGTCCACTGATAATTCTGAAGTAATACTTGACAATACTGAAAGTGTTCGGGAGAAGTGTTCAGGAGAAGTGTTCCGAAGCAGTGTTTGAGAGAAATGTTTCCAAATTTGCAAAGGAATGTGATTCTCAGCTTGCCTTTTGATTGTGGAGGGTTCGGTTCACACCATTCCTCCGTGTGTACGTGTTGAGACTTGCTTCGTCGAATGATTCAATCTGCGGTACCCACACCAAGCCGCCTCCGCGGAGCAGCGTCGGAGGATCTTACTGGCTGCCACTGCTCCGAACGAGCTTCAATAGTCTAGTTGGAGCTAGTGTAGCTAGAATTGATTGAAGGGGATCCGGAGTGGCGAGCATTGCATCTTACATGTACAATAAGGGGGCGTAGCTACAGTATGGAAATTATCTCCTTTTCCACCAATCAGTGAGTGATTTTAAAAGCAAATTTGAGTCTGTAATCCCTGCGACAGTTGGCGATGGGCTGCTGGGAGCTAAAATCTACTTTAGATTGAGTCATTCAATTCGTGACCTTCACGTAAATTATGTTGATGTATTAGTGTCCGTCATCACCAGCCCAGGGCAGTCTAAATGTAAAGACTTCAAGTTCCAACCAAAGGATCAACATTCAAAAAGAGAGTCATCGTCACTGGGTGCATTGGTATCCAGGTCATTCTCCATTGGCATGTGATTGCCACGTGCTGGGGCTGCGCTGGCATGAGGTGCGCTTGCTTGAGGTGCCGCTTCCTGGACTGGCAACTCTTTTTGGTAAACTTGCACCGGTGTGCCGCCCTCCAATATCTCCTCCTTGGATCTGGACTTTTCCTCATCTACCAAGACATCTTGCGTGTGCCTTGGTTCCACAGAGCCAGCACTGGTCTGCGCCTTAGGGCTCTCCTCTTTGTTCGCAGAGCGGAATCGATGAACGAGGTAGAATCCAGCAACGAGGAAAACAAAGCCAATGACCGCGCACACAATTCCCACAATCAGAACCACCATCTTGCCTCCATCATCGTCTTCCTCAGCGGCAGCCTGCGGCTGGGGCTTACCACTACAGCGAAGCCCCGGACAAGAAAGTTGACTTTCGCACTCAATCCATGCCAATATCTCTTCAATGCAGTCTCCACATTCACACTCCATTGGAATATCTTGACAAGCGCTCACTGCATCACCACAAGTTGACACTCCGCTCAAGATGTTGCTGTAGCAGGCAATACAGCCGTCGACTTCGGGGGCAGACCATTTGGATCCGCAAGTGCGCATGCTGTTGTATTTCGTCTGGCAAATAGGCATCAAGGGAGTGACTGAGACGGGGCTTTCGGGCGAATAGGTGGGTGTCTCTTTGTCGGGTGTTACTGGGGCAGTTTCTTCCTGATCGCTGGTGCAACCCGCCACAGTTTCCCCTGCACAGCTGAAGGAGCTTCGTTCTCCAAACGCCAGACAGCCAATCAATTTACCATTACAATAATTGTAGCAATCACAGGCTGCCGTGGTAAACTTGAGCAATTGGGAGCACGTCTCATTGGTGTTGGCGACAGTCACTGCACAGACGCTGGGGGCAGCTGTTTGGCTGGGAGGTGTTGTGGGAAGGACTGTTTGTGCAGGGCGTATTGTTGGTACGTCGGGAGCCACTGTTTGTACTTCGGGAGGTTTTGTTTGCAAACTCGGCTCTGGCGGTACTGAGGCCACGGGTATTTGCAAAAATGTGCTCCCGTCCTCGGCTGCTGGTGGCGGTGGGTTGGATGGGTCCAAGAAAGTCTCATCAGGAGGTGCTGGTGTTGGATCAGGTTTGAACAAGATTGGAGCAACGAGTTAGATATCCTGTGGCGAAAGCTGCTGCATCCCTGCCCGGCGATTCGCATCATATCGTACCTGGGTCTTCTTCATTGGGTAAGATGAAGCATCCCAAAGCAGCAATCTCATCTGTGGTGCTGCACTGTAAATTGACGCGTTCACTGGGGCACGAAGTGGCCCCGGCGGCCTGGGCTGCAGATTCACACGAGTATGCCATTTGCATCTTGTCGCCACTTCCGCACACTGTACATGCATCACATTCAACACCATTCCATGAGGCTGAACAGGTCCATGTCTCAGCGTCAAAGTCGAGACAGATATTGTTACCATCAACATCCATGCAATCCTCGGGACCTTCTTCATAGGGTAAGATAAAACAATCCTGAGCAGACCCCTCTGTAGTGCACGCTACATTGACCATGTCAGTTGGGCACATAGTGGCCCCAGCGGCCTGGGCCGCAAGTTCACACGAGTATCCCACAGGTGATTCATCGCCACTTTCGCACATGGCACATGCATCACATGCGACACCATTCCACTCTACTAAACATGACCAAGTCCCCGCATCAAAGTAGATACAGACCGCATTGCCATCAATATCCAGGCAATCCCCGGAAAGAAGGTCTCTGTCGGCTAATGTCCTGAAATCGCTGGCCAGGTGTCGAAACGCTCGTGGCTCTCCCATCACTGGAGACAATGCCAACGCTAGGACGAGAAGTGCGTTCAAAAAGTTCCCGGTCCACATGGTTGGCTTTTGTTTTATTAGCCAAGGTGGCTGTATTGTTCGAATCTCGTTGGTTGCTTTCCTGTTTGCTTACACGTATTATTGTGGGGAGGGATGTAATAAGGAGCCGAAGCCCTGTCGACTCGATTGGAATAGGAACAACCCTGGGCTTCTCATGTTGCCTCGAGTTATCACAGTTCCAACCTGCTTCGGGTGCTAGTTTTCGTGGTGTTGCCACATGTACTGCGCAACAGATAGTCGGGGAGCTTGAGTTCAACCATCTAAGATTACTCAATTGACACTCTCGATTGGATGCATTTGGCTTTGGTTGTCAAGGCCCCATTGCGAAGGGTTCGGTCCGCACCATTCATCCATGCTATGTGTTCCCGTTGAGACTTGCTTCGTCGACTCCGCTGATACCTGGTACCTACCGGATGATGCTTCAAGACGACACACGATACTATTCTCTGCACAACCTATTACTACAGCGGTCGGTGGTCGGTGGAGTATGGAATCTTCCCTTTTGCTACGCGGCGATGAAGTTCAGAAGAGACGATGCTTGAATTCTCGGGGATTCCCAAGGCTGGCTTTTGTAGCGAACTTCTTATTTTGGGGATGCAGGAAGTTGATTGCGTAGTAGAGGCTGTAGTAGTTGGATCTGTCCCTCAGTTGCTTGAGATGCAACCAACCGGAGAGGATCTTCGGGGAAGGGATTTCTAGGAGCTCTCTGAGGCTACATAGGAGGATCCTGAAGGCAACAAAGCAACACGCGGTTTGATGAGACTATTCTCTCACCGATGGAAGTTCTAATGTATTGAAAGTCAACAGAAGGGAAACACTGGCAGTAAGCACAAAGAGGTGGATACATTTCTGCTCATGAGACTACCCCAAACCAATGGAAGACGCACCGTGAAGAAATAGCTGTGCAGGAAAGCTCAATAGGCAAATATCAGTGTACATACAAAACGAGCACTGATCTTTGTCCAAACGAATGAACCGAGTTCGCTAGCTAAGCATTAGAGTCGAGTCGAGTTGAGAGGCACTGGCTGCTCTGTTACTTGGTCAATCATCCAGGTTCAGGCTGAATCCACAGTCGAATTTGTTGATTTGGATCTCCATTTGCGCGCTGGTGTGGTGATTCGAAGTACGAACTACACTGTATGCTTCCATGCTTCCTTGTGGTCGTTCATTCAAAGAACGGACTGGACAGTAACCCCCTCGCTGTCAGAATTAGCTCACTGTCTTTGAACTTGGCAGCGCGCTCCCTGGCCATGAATAGAGTCTCCAGGACTTTCCAACCCGCACTGTCATTTCTGTCTAGCAGTTCCACAAGATTGGCCCAGACTTCCTCGGCTTCGACGTATTCTCGGAATTGGGCGATATCCTTGTCAAAAATATCTCCCAGCAATCGTTGGAGTGTATCTTCGTCCGTCGCCGGGACCGGATCATTGACACTCTTGATTTCGGCAAGCGACGACAAGAGCAATCCCACCGCCACAAATCCCAAAGCATGCATGTCTTCGGCAATGGCAAAGTTGGCGACGGCAATGGACCGTTCCCCTTTGGCAAAGGACAAGCCAAATGTTCGTGCACGGGTACAAAACTCGGGGTCGTCCGCGGACGCTTCCAACAAACCCGCGAATCCAAAATCGGCCATTTTGATGTGCAGCTGTGACAAGAATGTCGTGTAGGGTGAGGACGCTTCCCGTTTGTCCATGGCTTTCGAAGACAGCAAGATACTGCTTCGTCCGATACTCCGATGCACCAATCCAACATCGTGTTGCAGTGCCATGGCTTCCAGTGCCCCCTTGAGAATGCCCTTGACGACGTAGTTGGCGCGTTGTTCAAATTTTGGCAACGGCGGTGGATCGACGGCTCCAAAGAAACCCTTTTTGGGAGGAATGGCTTGTCGTCTCAATTCGGCAGGTTGCGCATAGTTGGCCACACTGGCCATGCCGGGATATTCGTAAATGATCCAAATGGCGCTGGGTTTGGGTGGTTTGACACTCATGGCTCTGTAGAATTCATTGGGATCCATGTCGTCAATTTCTGCCAGGTTGCATTCTCCCAGAATACCCACAAACGGACTGTCTCGGAGGAGATGCATTAGGCGTGCCACATTGTTGTTGTCTTGTCGTTCCATGACCGATCGAGACGACGCCGCTCGGTACCAATCTCCGTCTTGAGCACTTTGTTCGTTTCGCAAGAGGTTGGATTGTAGTTTGGCAATGGCAAATAGTTCGTTTCGAGCCAGTTCCATGGCCATGTCACCAGAGAATTCTTTAATCAAGACTCTTCGATCGTATCCTTGTGCTGACAGGCTGCCTCCGAGGGGTCCTACCAGCTCTCCTCGAAAGAGGCGGATCTGGGGTAACCAACAAGTTCATGCATTGGTGGATGGCATGTAGTGTAGTGTAAGTTTAGGCCCATTCCTCAAAAGGCAGAACATTCAGGTAAGTACAAGAACGAACGTACTTACCACAGACCCACTGCTGGATCGCGTTCTCCTTGGAGTGGCGGAATCAAAGGGATTGGGTTGGACCACTTTTCGGTCGTTCTCGTCGTCTTCATTTTCGTAGTAGTACTCCCAGTCTGTCACTTCATCAAAGCCCATGTTACCCACAAAGTCAGAAAGCACAAAGTCTCTGCCAAGTGAGAGCTATCCATAGATCCATCCAATAATGGGTTAGAGAGAAGAAAAAGCACGTCAAGTATGTAAGTGTTCTGTACAAAACATACTAACTGTACAATCAAGTTGTACATACCTGCCTGGACCGACACGCTGACAAATCGTCGGCTCCTCTGGACTGGAGAACATCGGAAAGTTTCAAGACATCGTCATTGCTGTCGTCAAAGTCATCAAAGTCTGACTCCCATTCATCAGCGTCAATGCCTTGCAATGGTATTTGGTGTTGTGGGCGTGCTCCAGTGGACGATTTTTGGAGTACAGATTGTGTCACAAAGGCATTGGCCAGAGGCAGGCAAGCAATCAGGAGAGGCAACATCCTTGGCTTCCCACTCCTTCTCATGGCGATGGCGGGATCTCCTGTGGAACAAATGTAGTTGGTCTATTAACTAAGAAGACGCAATGATACCCATAGCGGCAGCATCGAGGGCGCTCTTCTTCACTTTTGGCTTCCTGACAGGATTTTCTTCTTTCACCTCTCGATTTCCTCGCCACGTCACCCTGACCTGAAGCCCACGAGGTGCGCGACTGGACTGTGACTGCTAATAACTGTGACTCATGCTGACTTCGAATTCCCACGTTCGCTCTTCAATTTCAGAAATCGTGGAACGTTCGAGCGAAAGATCGAAGCGACAGGACGGCTCGCTGTCCATCGTTGCCATCATGAGGTGTCTATTGTCTTGACTGTTGTCATTTTCGCCGAGAGTCGAAATCAAAAAATCCATACAGACAGACGATTGACTAGTATGCCACTTCCCGAAGACAATCTCGCCGAGCTGTCCTTTCGCGACCTACAGAGGGAGTGTCGAGATGCTGGTCTGGATCGATCGGGAACGGCGGCCATGTTGCGCAAACGGTTGCAGGAATCGCTCAATAAGCAACAGCGTTCCAACAAACGAACCAAAAAGAGTCCTGCCGATGATCTGCTATGTCCCATTACTCTAGAGTTGCCATGGGATCCAGTAACGGGTAAGCAAGAAGCATTCGATAGCTTGCTTTTGCCAGCCGTCCAAAAGCTCATCCTAGTTTGTGTTTCCCTCTTTTCTTGCTACCGTATAGCGGAAGATGGTCGGGTGTATGAACGTTCGGGTAAGATCTGCTACGTATGCCAAAGAATCCTGCTGTGCTTTCGATTTATAGGTTTGTAGCTCATAATTGTGTGTGTGTTTTCCACTTCCATCGATCGACAGCCATCCAAAGCCACATCAACCATAATCGCGGCTGTGCACTCCTCCGGTCCCCCATGACAAATGAGAAGATGGGAACGCGTCTCTTGCCCGCACCGCAACATAGGAGTTTGATTGAAACATTGATTGAAACTGGAGCCATTGAAGGAGACTTGGTCATCAAATGGGAACAAGCCGCCAAGGATAAAAAGGCGGCCGAGGAGCTGCTACGAAAAGCCAATGACGGTGATCCGCAGGCCATGGAACAAGCTGCCATCAACTACGAGCTGGGCGAAGCAAGTTTCCCCTTGGACTGGAAACAGGCTTTTCGGTGGTACAAGGAAGCACACTTGCTGGGGCACGTTCCCGCCAGAGCCAATCTAGGAGCTTGTCTGTGTGACGGGGTGGGTGTCAACAAGAATGCCAAGCTAGGTCTCGTGTACTTGTCCATGGCTGCCACGGAAGGCTCGGACTATGCCGCCTATATCATGGGCATGTGCTTTTCCAATGGAAAGTATGGCTTGTCCAAGGATCGGCAAGAGTCAATCTTTTGGCTGAACAAATGCTTGAGCCCCTGCGACCACGAGCACATGACGGATGCAATGAAAACGGAGGCACAAGTGAAACTTGCTGCTATCTTGAAGAAAAAATCCTCTTGAAACTAGCTAGCTCAGTTGAATTCTAAATAATGTGGCTTTGCTTGTTGCCCAGAGAGACAAGTGCCCTCTAATCTACTAGTACCGGTAGAATTGCAATTGTTCCTTTGCCCGCACTTTGCCCTGGCACCCTGCCCAAAAGAGTCTTAGGAAGGGGAAAAACTTCGAAAAGACGGAGACCGAAGCCTTTGGATGCAGCCTGCTGGCTTATTTTGGCACTTACCGCGCTCGGCGCTCAACAGCAAACATCACCACTCGAGACAGGCACCATCGTTGTGTATCTACTGCTGTTTTTCTTGGATACAATAGCTACTCGTATCTCGTACATGTCTATGTCTACCACGTGTGTTAACGGCAAAGCCATTGGATGTCACCATGAGAAAGCAACGATGCGGGCAGAGCCAGCTGAATCGCCAAATGATGATTTCCTGAACCAAACGGATCTTTGGGTCAAGCAAATTCTGCCCTATCTTGGTATGGGGCAATATGCCTTTGTTGCCCCTGTCTGCCACAAAATGAAAGATCTCTATTTGGCTTATTGTGAAACTGAGGAAAATCCGTCAAAGATCATTGAGTATGAGGAACAGATCGATGAGTATGGTTATGGTGAACCCTATATGGCTAGAACACAGCTACCTGCAACCCCTACCACTACTTTCTACACTGCTACCTTCTCCAATGTTACGCGAGCAGAGTATTGGTTCACCCACCGTCGCTCTGGCACTGGTGGACAGATCAAGGGTAATGATCTCTGTGCTGCAGCTGCCAAAGTGGGCAGTCTTCAAGTTATTCAATGGGCCCGAAATAAGAGTCATCTGTGGGATAGCTGGACTTGCCATAATGCTGCCGAAAACGGTCACCTTCAAGTGCTCCAATATGCCCATGAAAATGGCTGTCGATGGGGTGGATTCACGTGTCAATTGGCTGCCAAGAATGGCCACTTGGAATGTCTCAAATATGCCCATAACAATGGCTGTTGCTGGGAACACGGCACCTGCAGCTGCGCAGCTCAAAATGGACATTTGGAATGCCTGAAATATGCACATGAAAATGGTTGTCCATGGGATGATGTTACATGTACATGCCGCTATGCTGCTGAAAATGGCCATTTGGAATGTCTCAAATATGCACATGAAAATGGCTGTCCATGGGCTGAAAAAACTTGCCGACTTGCTGCCAACAATGGCCACTTGGAATGCCTCAAATATGCCCATGAAAATGGCTGTCCATGGGATGAAGCCACATGTTCTGCCGCTGCTTTGTGTGGCCATTTGGAATGTCTCAAATATGCCCATCAACTTGGCTGTCCGTGGAATGAACACACATGCAACTGTGCTGCTGCAAATGGCCACCTAGAAGCACTTAAGTATGCTCATGAGCATGGTTGTGCATGGGGTGAAGGGCACCGAGGTACATGCGAATTGGCTGCGCTGAATGGTCACCTCAAATGCTGAATATGCCATGAAAAGGCTGTCCATGGGACAAACATACATGCGACAGGGCTGCTCAGTGGGGTCATCTTGAGGTTCTCAAATATGCACATCAGAATGGCTGTCCTTGGGACGATTCAACATGCCTTGCTGCTTTATGGCGGACAGCTGGAAACCCTGAAGTATGCCCATGAGAATGGCTGTCCTTGGGACAGTGGTCTCACAAGCTTTGCTGCTCTCCGTGGTTTGGAGGTCTTGAAATACGCTCTCTCAAATGGTTGCCCATTCTATGAAAGTGGTTTGCTGGAAAGCTGCCGTGATGCTGAGATTCAGGCTTGGCTTCGAGACTTTTTATTGCGGAGGAAGAATACTTGAAAATGCCAAGCTGGTTGTAGGTAGAAGCGTGGGATGTCTGCTGCTGTCTCAGATGTGTGCCTAGCTAGTAGCTAGCTAGGGCGCGGTTTCCCTACTAGCTGCTGTACGATCTTAATTAAAAGGTGATGAAATAGAATCGAATCTTATCATAGCCCTTGCAACCTTGGCCTTTAGAAAAATGCGTGGTGAGGGGAGAGGGGACCGCAAGCTGGCTGTCCTTCCATAATTCTTTCTCGTTGAAGATTTAAGGCGCAATCTACCGTGTAGCAATCATCGCATTGGCTTTTTTGCCGCCGACACCCCAGCCCGCTCCACGAAGATCCCCATCTTGTCTCCTTCTGAATGGTCCAGAAAGCTATCGTAGCTTCTTGTTGGACTGTCTCTTTTGCGCCGTTGTTGACTCTGTTCTCTTCCTTCTACGTAACGAACTACTAGCTAGCAGAAGATTATTTTCTTGCTGACGGCATCAACCTTTGGAAAAGTCTAAAAGACAGAAGCAAGAAAGATCGAATAATAATTACTCATAATAATAGAAAACAATGACGGGAACTGATGACGGCGGCGTCAAGACCATGGAGGTGGACGGAAAGCAGCATAAGGATAAGAAAGCCGAGGAACGATGGAATCAACTTCCGTGGGTAGAGAAATATCGGCCTGACAAGTAAGTGATGTTTTAATAAAGAGAAAAGAGGGGGTACCATTCACATCATTGCAAACGATTTCCTCACTCTTTCGGTGTGGATTGACATGGCAGACTGGACGATTTGGTGGCTCATGACGACATTATACAGATTATCAAAAACCTGATTGAGCAAGATCAGCTCCCTCACCTTCTCCTCTATGGGCCTCCTGGGACTGGTACGAAGACTGCGCAACATTTTGAGCTGACCATCGCATACAATCCAACAACTAACTAACCCAGTGTTTTGAACTGCTCGCTACCGTACTACAGGAAAAACTTCGACAATCGTAGCGGCAGCCAAGAAGATGTATGGGAGTCATGCAGCCTACAAGAGTATGACGTTGGAATTGAATGCCAGTGATGCCAGGGGAATTGATGTACGTCGTGTCAGACATCATATAGACTGGTATACCGTCATTGGATTTGGCTCAACTTTTGCATCAACCTGTATTCTTTCCTCTATCTATTCCCACTTTTTACTGTACGGATCATTGGGCATTATAATAGGTGGTTCGCAATCAAATCAAAGAATTTGCCGGGACAAAGCAACTCTTTAGCAAGGGGATCAAATTGATTATTCTAGATGAATGCGATGCCATGACCAACGACGCCCAATTTGCACTCCGTCGCATTATTGAAAAATACACCAGCAATGCCCGGTTTTGCTTGATTTGCAACTACGTTTCCAAAATCATTCCCGCCTTGCAAAGTCGATGTACTCGATTCCGATTTGCACCCTTGGCACGAGACCAAATTGAAGGACGTCTCACGGAAATTGCCCAAAAGGAACACTGTAACACAACACCCGACGGAATGGATGCCATTTTACGACTCTCGGGGGGAGATATGCGTCGGGTACTCAATCTACTACAGGCCACATCCATGTCGTCGGACGAAATCAATGGAACCACGGTCTATCAAACGTCGGGGGCACCGCTGCCTACGGACGTTACCATCATTCTAGATCTGCTCCTGAATCAATCCATGCAAACGGCCGTGACAGATATCCTCAAGCTGTGTGGAACAAAAGGGTACGCCCTCGTGGACATTTTGCAGGAACTCACATTTGAAATCACGGCTCTCGATTTGCCGGGGCCTGCTCTGGCGACCATGTTGGATGGAATGAGTGACATTGAACATCGTCTTGCCTTTGGAACCAGCGAAAAGATTCAAACGGCAGCTCTGGTGGGTGTCTTTGTCAAGGCTCGACACCAAATGGAAATGGCTTCCGAGTAAACTATATAAATAAATGACAATGTAGTTGGGTCTGACTCCCTCCCGCTAGCTAGACTTGACTTAAATTCTAGTTACAACTATTAACAGACTACATCCCAAGTATCAGACTACATCCAAGTAACCCAACAGCATACGGTAGCAGCTTTCTCATCATGGCGTCTATTTGGATTACTATGTAGCGAAATCTATGTCTGTGTGTTGTGAACTTGTGCGTGGTGATCATGTGGTGTGATGATTGTCGTTCCTGATGTACCGGTACAGTATTTGTTCTTGTCTTGTACCCTTGGTCTTGTGAAACATCTATTTACTACGTTTTGATTTGCTTCAAACTCCGGGCATCCACTCGAGGCGGCCAATTTAATATCAATGCCACCTCTGAAGGTCCATAGCTCGTCGGTTCGTCATTGCTCCTGCTGTTGTTGCGCTGTGCGCTTTTGCTTTTCAATAATTCTCGTGTCACTATTGCATCTTTTTCAATTCCATATCAATCCGTCTTCGAATCTGTCCTAGATCAGCGCTGACACCGGTCCACCAGACCGCTACAATCATGCACAGAAAGAGGACCGGAGGGAATCCCATCACAACCCGAGCTTCCCCATTGTTGGCCTCTGGAACTCCAAATAGATCCAACAATCGGTTGATGGACGACACCAAAAAGGCCGCCGATCCTCCACCCCATCGATTGGCCAACGTATCGACAATGGGTTTGGCTTCGTAACGCGCTTCATTGGAGAGTCCTCGCCAGAGCGATTCTCGTACGGGCTTGGCAACGGCCATGTTCATGACCCGACAGCATTCGTCCAAGAGCAAGAATAGCAATAGATTGGGAGGTTCCCCGTTACTCGTCTGATGCCAGTATGCCAGCGTCATGACTCCCATTAACCGTACCATGGGCATGAGTGCCAATGTGCCTCGTGATCCGCACATGTGTGCGACAAATGCGCCCAATCCCGATGCCTGCAACGCAAATGTCGCCACGGAACTGGCCATGTTGATATTGGCCAAAAAAGCGGTATCGGCTTCGGCGGTTGTTTCATTGCTGCGATTGGCGACCAATTCGGCTCGTTGAAAGCTGAGCAAGACATTGGTGGATGCAAAGAGCGCATTGTAGGTGAAAATGGCCATGAGTAATCGGGATTGTAAAATGGTTCGAATGCCCCGGAACAGTCGCTGAGAAAAGGAATCTTCGGCGGCAGATTGTTCTTGTTGTTGTTGCAACTGCTCCTGTTGTTGTTGCTGTTGTGCGGCGAGTTGTTGCAAATTAGTATTATTGTTTTTGTGTTTGAGTTCCGACATGGATTTGACGCGACTGAGTGAGTTTCCCGAACTAATGCGTTTCATACTGCCCAAGGATGCCGATCGTTTCATACTGGGATCGACATCTGCATTGGCAGACGCATTTGCCAAATCCTCTTCGGAAGGCGACCACAATTGTTGTTCGGTCCAATGTTGATGCATGATTCTTCCCAATTCAATGGCCAATTGTGCCGCCGCTTCCAGCATGAGTGCGGAGAAGACCAGCAATCCCGAGAGTCGAAAGACACGCGCCAAACTGGAAGCAATAGCACTGCATGAATGAATGAATGATACATGGAAGGAGACGTAGGAAAGAAAAAAAGTGTGAGCTTGATGAGACCAAACGTGACAATCCAAGAGAGCTGCTGTGCCAATAATGGTTCAATCAATCAATACTCTTACCTCCCCAGAATACCACCTACAGTACCTCCAAATCCCACAAACGCCAACCGTTGCAGTCGGCCCTTGCTAGTGGGTGCCTTATTGTTGTTGTTGGATTTGTCGTCATGGTGGTGTACGCCATTGGTGTGTTGCTCTTGTCGTTGTTGCTGTTGTATCCGTCGTTTTCGGGATGTTTCTTCGTATTCCATGGCTTCCGTGGTGACGCCCCAGACGAGACTGAGAGAATGCAATTTCATCAAATGGACTACCAAAAAGAAGGCAATGTACATGGCTTGTCCCAAATGTTGCAAGAAGAGTTTGATGACGACCACCATTCCCCATTGACTACTATTTTCGTCATTATCAGCAGCAGCGGCATGATTGTTGTTGACCAACACTAGAAACTCAATTCCCTTGAATCCAATGGCATAACTCCACAATGCCATGGCAAAGAATCGATAAAAGAGTGCCAGCGAAGTGCCCTGTGTTTCACCGCGTGTCAATCCAATGCGTTTCCACAATCGACGACGTTGCGGATCGGGTGCTTCAAACAACCATCCAATGGGGACACTACTAAAGAGTGCCAGTACTGTCGATGCCAATGTCAATTTGGGAATGTGTTCCACACCGACCGCCAGCGCAATGGCATCGCGCATCGGCATGAGCACGTAATTGCTGCACGTGACCAAAAAGAGGGCCCAAAAGCCAATCCACGTGGCGGCTTCTTGCGGATCGTACTGATGCGGCGACCGCATGATGCGTTGCGAAATCGATTCCAGTACCATGGTGACCGTGTAATGAGGAGTAAAGCGTTTTGCTGTGGTTGTTGGAGCCGGACTTTTGAGGGGTGCCGTGTAGGTATTGCTGTTGGTATTCAATAGAGGAGGAGATGTCGGAGGTGTCATGCTGGCAGTGCTCGTCAGGTCGGCCATTTCTTGCTCATCATCGTCCTCGTCGTCTCTATCATCGCCATCGCCATCGTCATCATGGTACAAGTCCTCGGATTCCGGTTGGTCCTCGTCGGCACGGACAGCTTGCGGCAAGAACGATGACATTCTGGGTTTGCGGCGATGAATGCGTTGGGGAGATAATAACTTGACTACTTGCTCTCCGTCGTCTGATTCTGGCGCTCCAGTTGTGCTCTCACCTTTGCTCATGGTGCTTTTCGATCGTCGAATTGACAGATGCAGGCTTGACTGTTGTCGGCAGTGGTGAAAAAGAGCAATACAAAAAACAGGAAAAATGACGTCAGCGAGAGGAACGAAGAGGGAGTTCATTGGGCCACAGCGCCAACGAAGATGAAAACAGAAGGGGATAAAAGACTCCATCAGATAAAAGGCGCAAGATCTGGGAACGGAACCAGCTTCTGGATACAAATTGGCATGGCGTCCCGAAGCCTGAATCTTTCAATACTCCATGCATGCAAATGCAGATACCTGTAGACTAGTCTAGCTAGTCGAAGGAGAAGCAAGAGACTGATCTAGCTAGCTACGGTACCAGTACAGTACTAGCTAGTTAAATATGTTGACCTAACTAAGAAAGTGAGCTGCCAGTAGCCAGAGTATTTGATGTGAAGGGGGCGGCGGACACGATAAATTAATTAATTTTCAGGACACACTCCAGTCTGACACCAAGTAGTTCGATTCCAACACCGATCCCGCGAGCTACATGTACCGGTACAAGAGGACCGACTCCAAGATCGGCAGCCAACCCATCCTACCGTATTCCATACCGGTACGCTGTGTGGTAATTCTTCATGTTGGTCCATCTCTGCTCCCTGCCCCCCAGGCCCGCGTTTGACCTCCTGGTCCTACCCAGGCAGTCCTCACAAATGCATAATTGGCAATGGTCCTACGTCGGTAGATCAAAATCCAATGCCCATGGTGCCACTCAAGGCTCAACTCTGTTTTGCATGCCCATCATCCTCTTTTGTCTACTGTCGGCTCTAGCTGGTAATAACTGGCTGTAGTAAAGGCTGGGCTGGCTGACCCCCATCGGATGCTTGTGGGGAAACGACTGACACAGGCGAAAGAGTCAGTTGGCTTTCCAACACGAGATATGCACGAGATATGCACGACATTCAGCGGCGAACTTCACTTTGCCTAACTAGCTAGACTAATAGCTGCATCTCGTGAACCCCTGTCCGTACCTACACAATGCAGGATACCAGGACCAACTCCAAGACCAACACCAGGACCGGTAGGAGCTAGCTAGTTAGTCTACTAGACCAGGGCGGTTATCAGTAGGCTCCCGGACTCTTTCTGCTGCATGACAACGAACAGAGATGCACATCGCTTGGTGTAGATATTTAAATATGCATACTTCCGAGGAAGCTTGTTTAGTTGGTCGCGTATTACCATACTTCTGTCCACACTTAAACACGCCACAGCTAACGGTACCTACGGTACTTTTAGGTCTTTTCTCCAAGAGTTGCATGGTCGCACCGTACCGGTACCAGGTACCGGTACCGGTACGTACGATCTACCCAGCGGTCATCAAGCAGGCTTTTTCCAGAAGTCGCGCCGTGTATCAATTCAATCCTGCATGCACAGCTCCCGACCAGGGCCTGATCCATCAACAGTGGAAAGCCACAGTGCTTGAGATGATTGTGCCGGAATCAGCGGCTTCGATGAAGCCAATAGAAGACCTGGCGGTGAGCTGTGAGCTGGAGACGGCGCCCGAGCAATCTGTTCCAGCTCTCCTTTCAAGAGAATCAGTCCTCAAATCCTCACAAATCAAGATACTCGCAACCTAAAAACCAAATCACAAACCGATCTTTTCTAACAACCATGCCTGCTGTTACCACCAAGAAGTTGCAAGCCGAATGCGGGTGCAAGTCGGTCAAGATTTACCTCGAGGAATCGAATCTGCCAAAGCCTCCAAGTTTTGTGGCCAATGCTCCGTCTATTGCCACTGCGGCGATTGCGTTGGCTTTCCTGGATTCTGCTTGAAGGAGTCGTCCAGGGCAGCGAACGGAGACAAATGCATTGACGTGGTCAACCACGAAAAGCAAGCATGTAACCACGTCTTTTTCTACAACAGCGATGTGAAGTGATCAAGGGGCACGAGAACATTGGCTGGCATGTGTTGAAAGAAAACAGTCCCACGTTGAGATTCTACGCTAAGTGCTGTGGAACCCCCATGGGGTTTCGCTTCAAGCCCATGGATGCCACTGCCATCTATGGACCTTTGCTGGAAAAGCAGGAGGGGGTTGAATATGACAACAAGAAGGAGAAAGCCTCCTTTCCAGAGGCCCAGTATGTCTTCAATGCCAAACCTGAGCACCGTGCCTTGCATGCACCCGATGTGAAGGTTTACTGTGACGACAAAGTAGACTTCTTTCCAGTCATTTCTCATTATATGGCACGAATGCTGCTAGGAGCAGTCTTGGGCAAGAACAATCCTGGTGATTTTGCTCTTCCCTCCAAGGACGTTGCATTTGACGGCATTGGTCGAGAATCCAATCAGGAGATCTCAAGTTGCTCTCGTAAACCAAACAATATGTATCACCCACATTTCATGGGATACATGGTATCCCACATTCAGAAAGCTGGAATGGCCCTCCGCTGAAGCACTAGCTAGCAGCCAAAGTGTTGAAGACCTGGAAAATATAGTTCAGCAACAGGTATCCCTACTAGATGTAAAATGATCCACCGGCCGCTGGAAAACAAAAACAAGTAAAAACTCTAGTAGCTATGCATAACTAATTCCATTACCACTACCGGTACCCTCCCGGCATCATTCTCAGACTTCTTGCTTGCCCCCCCCCCCCTCCTCCTCCCCGTTCGAGCATACTTGATCTCAACTCTCTTGACGTCCATCAGATACTGCCGCTTGGTGCAGTATCAGCCAGGTGAAGTGGAGGCCATTGAAAGACAAAACCGTTCGGCTGTCAAGTACACTGTTGTCATCTTAGTTCTTGATGCTTTCTTTTACTCATCCCCCGCCCCCCACGAACAAGCCTTGCAAGCTACCGGTACCGTATGAAAAGGCAACGTGCACTAGTACTTGGTGCGTTTTTAATCTACCTAAGATTCACTCTGGTGCGCGTTGCTTTACAGTCGCTTGTTATACATAGATCGAGGCATTCGGTTACGGCTGGATTCCGTCATGCCGGACTCTCTCGAGTTGCGAGTTTCTCTGGATGCTCGAGTGTCACGAGATCCCGTCGACAGTCGAGAGCTAACGGAGACGCGAGACCCAATCGAATGACGAGAACTCACGGAGGCCCTGGATGTCACGGAGGCGCCGCTCGAATGTCGAGAGCGACGAGACGACTTGAGCTTGTACCGTTTCTCCGTCTTGCGCCGAGACTTGGCACTATAAATCTCGGCATCCAGGAAGGCCTCTTCCAGACAATAGTCTTCGTCAAACTGCCTTTGCGAGAGGGATCCAATTCGCGACGGGGATGCCCGGTTGAAGGTGTCCCCAGAGTAGAGTGTCTGTGCACAGGTCGAGTCTTCCAGTGCATCGGCCAACGCCAGCATGGGAGGGGCTGCACGTTTGTGCCGGGGACTGCTAGCAATGCTGCTGCTAGCGCCGCCAGAATAAAAGCTGCCTCTGGATCGACTGTGCATCTCATTGAGCGTATCCTCGAGCAGCTTGTCGCCGGAAGGAGCGCCGTTGCGTCGGCTGTACCGGTCCAGACCCACTTTGGATGTCTTTTCCCAAGCCGTCTCGAGAATCCTGTCCTCCTCCTTGTGATGACGCCTTCGCAATTCCTTTCGCTGTTTGCGGCGCTTGATTTCTAGCTGAATCTCTCGATCGACTTCGGCCTTGACCATCTTGAAAAATCGCAGAATCAATAGACCAGCACGACGTCGTCTAAGTGATCGACGTTGCCGGGCGGCAGCATACCAAACTTGGATCTTGATTGCGCCATCAATCTGCTTTTGCAGCAGCTTCTCTTCGGGAGTGGGTCCGTTTTTGTGGGTCTTGAGGAAGAAGGCTAAGATCTTCTTGGCGGCAATCCTTCTTTGAATCTTCCGTTTTGCGACAGCGTACTTGGTGAACCAGAGCAGGATCTTGGCGCTTTGAGCTCGCCGCCTGGCATTGAGAATGCGCAGCCAGGCCCTTTGAATCTTGCAGACGGCTCTGGTCAACTTAGCTGCATGTTGCTTCGAAATCGCATAGCTTTGCTTGCTGAACAAGTCGAGCATCAGATGCCGGGCCAAGTACTGCCGTCGAAGCGATTGGATCTTGGTTGCCGATGCATGCTTTCGACTGCACTGCATCCGCACGAGCATCATCCTCGCCAAACTTTGTATCTCAATGACAGAACCCAGTGTGTACAGGTAATGCTGCATGACCACGTAGCCTCTCCAAATTCTTTGTATTTTGAGAGTGGCCCTGTTGATTTTGACAATGTGTGTCTTCCAAGCCACAAAGAGGCCCACGCGTCCACTGAATCCTCTCCAGTATCTTTGAATATCCAAAACGGCGGCCCTCCTGGTGACAAAGTTGGCACGGTCTTTCCTTCCACGAAAGGCTGCTTGAATAATGGCTGCGGCATCATGGCTCTTTTGAACCAACAAATGCAGGCGAACTTTGCGGGCCAAAAACCGACGGCAGTAGGTCTGAATCTTGATGATCCCACCCCGTTTGTGCAGATACGCCGATCGAAGCAATTGCCCGCGCCACACTCGTTGAATGGGGATCACAGCCTCGTCTTCCAGTTCTTTCATCGCAAAGAAATAACGCACTCTCTGTTGGATGAGACAGACCTTTGATAGCACATCTCGATATGACGTTTGACCCCGGTGCGCACGCCATCTGCTTTGTATCTTGACAGCACACCAATGACACTTTTCTCCGAAGAGGTCAAGGAACAGGTTGCGGGCGAGGAAGCCTCGGGCAGCGGCTTGAATCTTGATCGCGTCGTCCCTCACGAATTGATAGCTCGTAGAAGCAAAGTAGCAACGCCAACGAGATTGAATAATGGTAGCCGAGTTGATCGCATGATCTTCCCACATGTCGAAGAACACCTTTTGAGCCAAAAGCCGACGAACCACGCTCTGAACCTTGACAATATCGGATACAATATATGAATAGTTTGAAAGACAAAAGTGGCGCCTCCAACATTGCTGAATAAGGGATGCAGAACGGTAAAGTCTGGCACGGGCTCGTCTGCTAAGTTCATGCCGAGCAAGAAGGCATCGAACCGACCTCTGAATTTGAAGAGCACATTTCTTGTAGGTGTCAAAGCTTCCTTTGTGGAAAGAGCGTCGCCAACTCGTCTGAATGATAGTAGCACTGCGGTTTAGCAGGCGTGACCTGACAATGAAGCGCCTTGCAAGACTTTGGATTCTGATGACCTCGGACAAGGAAATCAAAAAGCATGTGTACGCATAGAATCCTCTCCAGTACCTCTGAATGGTCAGTGCAGATGAGTTCGCTCTGTCATCGTAGCGCTCAAGCATCCTCTTCTTCGCCAAGCGTCGCCGCACGATGCTTTGGACTTTCACAAGGTCGCAGAGAGCAAACAGATAGTTCGTGTAATACAAATATCCCCGCCATGCACTTTGGATAGCAGTCGCGGCAACGTTCTCTGCCTTTCGACAGAGCGCCGCCTGACATGACTTCCTGACCCTCCAGCTGTTCTGGATGCACCTTGCGGCGATGAAACGATGGTAGGCGGATGCGTAGATCATGCACCGCCAATTCTTTTGAATCCTGATGGCGGAGACAGTTCGAACATACCAGGTTCGCACAGTAATGCGTCTCCAGTTCGTTTGAATGCTGAGAGCAGCTTCGTGCTTCATGCAAAGAACCCGGTCTTTGTATCCTCGCATGTGAGCTTGGATCAATCTAGCTGCGACATATTTCACATAGGCGTCGCGTGCTCTGTAGCAGCGGAAAGATGACTGCAGCATCGTGGCGGCCATGGACTGAAGAGAGCCAATGGCATTGCTAGTGAGCGTTTGGGCCTTCAGCATTCTTGTCGAGATAGCGCGTCTTCTGCCCACAATTCCGCGAGCGGCGGCCTGAAGGATCACAGCACCCCACTGCTCGTCTGCGTATCGACAGCGTGCCAGAAAGCCACGCACAACTGCCTGAATTCGAATCGAGCAATCGAGGCAGATCAGATAGTTTGAAAACTTCCAGAACCTTCGCCAGTATGCTTGGATCGTTCTAGCCGCACGATACTCGTAGAGTGTAAGCGTGAAATCGGCCTCTTGGACCAAGCCGCGCCAAACCTTCTGAATCGTAGTTGCAGCGCGCTCTTGGCGGTACAGTCGACGGCGTCGCCATCGTTGAAGGACTCTTGCAGCGTCATGCTCAATCTTGTGGCGAAGATAATTTGCCTTCTTGTAAGCAAACCATCTGCGTGCTACAGTTTGAACGATGACCACATCAGCAATCTTGAACATGTAATCGGCAAAGCAGACAAAGCCTCTCCATGTCTTCTGAATCACAATTGCGGATCTGTGTCTTCTGGCTTCTACCCTTCCAAGGTAGCCACGAGCCACCCGTTGCAGGACTATGGACTTGCGGACCAAGATTGCTGTGACCTCTCGCATTGCAAACCACCGACGGACCATGCTTTGAACGATTAACACATCAGCTAGAAAGTGCAGGTAGTCCATGCTTGTATCATAGCATCGCCATTGTGTTTGAATGATGGTGGCAGCTCGGTCTTCAATCTGGTACTGCAAGTAGGTTTCTCGGGCGTCGTAACATCTCCAACGTGCTTGGATAAGAGTAGCAGCCCTGATCTGCTTGAGATGGCGCCTATGCCTTGCAACGGCGAATGCTTGCTTCCTTCTCCAAACGCTCTGGAGGATGATAATATCCAGCAATTTGAATTGATACACGAGGCGGTAGTAAAAGGACCTCCATGCCGACTGGATCGTGATGGCTTTGTCACAAATCTTCTCCAAGCGTCCTCGCAGAATAAAGCCTCTCACAATCGCTTGAACCCGAATGATTAGATTCCTTTTGTGTGATGCAAGAGCCTGTGCTTGCTTCATCCGTACAAAATTCTGCACCAAGGTTATCTTGTAGATATCTTCGTAGACGACCATTGTTGCTAAGTATCCTCGGACATAGCGTTGGATAATCTTTGCGTTGTAATGTGCATATTCCATGCGACGTAGAACGCAATACCTTCTCCAGTTGGCTTGAACCCTTATGATCAATGTCATTCGCTTGGTCGCTAGATTGATGGCAATCTTCATGCGGAAAAAGTTCTGAATGAGCATGATCTTGTAGATCTCCTCGTAAACATGCATTGTCCCAAGATACCCACGAACGTAACGTTGAATCGTCGTTGCATGGTAATGTGCGAGGTCTAGACGGCATCGAACAAGATACCCTCTCGCGAGGGCTTGAAGAGAAAGAATCAAAGCCATCCTCATCGTTGCCTTGTCAAGAGCTTGCTTTCTGCGAATTCGGTTTTGAACCAAAGTAATCTTATAGAGCTCTTCGTACACGTGCATGGTAGCCAAGTATCCTCTAACACAGCGTTGGATATCAGTTGCTCGAGCGTTTGCATCCCTCAGCCTGCATCGCACCAGAAAACCACGCGCGACCCCCTGAAGCCTCAGGAGGCAGTACATTCGAAACTCTGCAGTTTTTATGGCCAGTTTCATTCGAATTTGGCTCTGGACGAGCGAGATCTTGTAAATGTCATCATAGACCCGCACAGCAGCGAGGTGGCCTCTGACGTATCGTTGAATCTCCGTAGCACAGTAATCCTCAAACATGAGGCGATCTCGGACGAGCATCCCCCGAGCGGCACTCTGAATCGCTATGACAGCAAACAGCTTGAGTTCATAGCGTCCTTGCTCCAAGAAAGCTCGGACTCTTGCCTGGATGACTAGTGCCCCCCACAACATCGACAGCGCCTCGCGTCTGGCGAGATATCGCCTAGCTGCTGCTTGAATGGGAACCACAGACGCGCTCAAGAGCCGAAGACCCGCCCTTTGCATTGGGTCTGCGATCTTTGTTTCGTCGTAGCGGTCGAAACCCTCCGTTGGTAAATCAATCACGACATTGCGTGTGCTGCTCTGTACTGCCGATCTGAGTGACCTCATGTTGGAGCTGCCAACGGAGAAGGAATCGATCAAACCATGGTCCCGAATCAAAGTCATTCGATCGTGAGCCATGGTCTTAGACTGCGCCATCGTGGTTCTAAATGCTGGAATAATTGTCTGATCAGACAGGGAATGATGTGACGTGCTCCGGCTGGAAGCCCCAACAGATCTGACTCCACTCACGGAACTATATGACCCATGCGATGCCGCCGCTTTAGACCTCACCCCCAAGCCTTTTCCTTTGGACGAAGCCTCGCTCTCCGAAGTAAAATGACTCCTAAGCTTGACCATGTTTCGCAACTTTAGCGCACCCACGTGTCGAGGCACGTTTTTCCAGGTTGGTGACCCCGATCCAGATAGCGACTTCACGGATCCTCGCACCGATTCATTCTCGAGTTCCTTCGTTGCCATGATCTCAGCCAGCTTGTCCTTCTTCTTCTTGGGGGCGAACTTTCCAGCATAGGCGTTTTTAGGGACGTAGCTTCTTTTTGAAACAACCTGAATTTCTGCGGGTTTTTGATTTGCTCGCGATCTCCTTGCCCTCAACTTATTAAATTGTTCTGTTTGTGAAGGCGGAGCTTTTGCATCTTCAGCTGGCTGCGTCTTGCTTACTGCTGGAGTCTGCACAGGTACCTTTACCTTCGTCTGCGCATTTTTGGTCTTGCGAGGCATTCCTGTGACACGATCGGGAGGAATCATTTTCGCTCTGCTCTTTGCATCCACTACCTTGCTCGGTTCTCTCTGATCCTTTCTCGTTCTTCCTGGGCTGCCATCTTTCACTGATGGCTTTCCTTGGCGCTTTAATTGAGCTGAATCTGATGACCTGCCTTGGCGCTTTACATGTAATTCAATTGAATTCGTGGCACGCGAGGATCCGTTGTGCGATTTCTTAGTAAAGGATAGCTCTGACTCTTGACGCTTCAGCTCAATCGAATCGGTTGCTCTACTCCCCAAGCTGCTCGGAACTCTAGACATCACTGTGGAAAGCGGTTCCATCTTTTGAATTGAATCGTCGCGGCCCGTTGAATCACCCTTGATTGTCGTCAACCTCGCTGCCGGCGGGGACGAGTGTTTCCGAACACGATCAAGCCTCTTTGGGTCTCTCCTGAAGGGAGACCCGCGACGATTTCCTGTAGACACAGGGGCTGGCTGAGCACGAGTCGCAGACTGCGACCGAGCCCTCTCCATGAGGCTGCTGGGCTTGTGAGCATTGTTCGGGTGGAAAATGCTCTTCCCAGGGGAAACAGATGCTGATCTTTGTGACAGTTGGGAACCTTGCATCGCGCCACCACCACCTGTAGCCTTCTTGTTCGCTGCCTGGGCCATGAGCTTCCTAGCACCAGCTTTGGTCTTTGACTCAGCCACTCGCTGCTCTATCATTTTGTCTTTAATCTTGCTCCAGTCACTGTCAACACTTCTATTCGACTGGGACGACGACCTGGACTTGTTTGATCTTTTCCGAAACGGTGAAACCTCTCTTTCCGGCTGATCCCGCTCCTGGCCCGAACGTCGAGATCCTGGTGATGGTGTTCGCGACTTGGAGCGCTGTGCAACCAATCGGGCCGTCTTTCTCATAGATAAGGGTGACGGTGTTCTTGACCGCATCTGCAATCGAGTGGACAGGGACGTAGATGATATTTTTTGTGCCGATTTTCCAGCAGCAGCAGCAGCAGCTGCAGCAGCAGCAGCTGCTGCTCCACCAATCCCGGCCCCCGATGACGATGTCACCGGTATACTCCTTTCAGCAGATGAAGCAACAGTTGGCTTTGGCTTTAGAGGGGGGCGTTTCTTGAGCGTTGTGACATCGGCTGGTGTTGCGGAACCTTCATGCACGGTTGTGGGTGTTAACTGAACATCCAAAGCTCGACCAAGAGCTCTGTTGCCATCTGCGGGGACCAAGCCTTCCCAGGAGAATGCAGGATCGCCTTTGGTGGCACTTCTAGATTTTGCTTGAGTGGACGAATCAAAAGTACTTCTGCCACGCGGCGACGCTAGGCTTTTGCTCTTTGGATTTTGTACACCACTCAATCTCTTATGCTTCCGCGGTGACCCCCGTGGGTGGTTTTTATTTGATGGGCTCATGGGATCATATATCGATGGCTCGGTGAGGTTGCTTACGGATGTCATCTCATCGTTGTCTAGCTCCCCGTGCGTCAGGCCAATATCGGATGTCTCAAGCTGCATGAACTTGGTTTGGAGATAATCGCCAGACAGATCACCCTTTTTCGGCTGAAGCTTCTTCTTCTTGGGTCTATCCCTCGACGAAGCAGTGGACTGATGGTCGTCCTGCTGTGCTTCATGATGGCGATCTCGTGGTGTCACTACAGGCGAATGAAAGGAGCCCAATCTTGCCTGCTCATCAAAAGGGAACGATGAAGGGCTTGAGTGTTTTTCATCGAAAGGGAATGATGAAGGACTTGAGTGTTTCTGATTGATATCTTCCGCTGTCACGCTGGCTTCCGAGCTGTCCAACTCCTCCACAATGAGATCGCCTGCTGTCAAGGTAGCATCCGAGCCGATTTCCAAGATTTCCGCATGCATGGTTCTGGTGGCGGCGTGTTTGGACGAGTGCCTCATCTAATCGATTTCGAATTGAAGAGCAAACGCAAATTAGCAACACCAGATATGGCTCTTGGCTCAGCAAGCAAAGACTCGGTTGCAAACAATTCAACATCCGACAACAAACACTTACCTCTTTCTCCCTGGCCGCACGACCAGCAAAAAAGTTCAAGAATCCCTTCCCACGTTGTTTCTTGTCTCGATCTTCTCTTGGGTCATGCCCCGGTGATGTTGGCGTTGCTGGGATAGCAGGCGGCGGTGGGGGCGGCGGCGGTGCCACTGCCAGTGGCGGTTGAATCATCGTCGTAGTTCCGGTTCCCGTAAAGCTGGCACTGTATTTTTCGTCTCTCGAGTCCAGTACATCGTGATCTCGACTGTCGTCCGAAAGATAGGATTCGGACAAGACTTCGCTTGCCAACGTCCGTGATCTTGACCGCGGTGATCGATACTTGGTCTTGGTGGTGGTCTCAACAGCATCCAGCTTTCTCCACATGTCCGATTCGTCGTCTTCGAAATCGGCTACCCATTCATTGGCGGCTGTAAAAGAGTCTATGGAATGAGTGCCATGCACGAGATTTGTCCCCCATTCATCACCCCTGGCACTTATGTTACTATTACCGCGAGTCGACTTGCCTTTGCTGTTGCTGGGTATTGCGACACGCCAGACTCCCTCTTCGTCTTCGCGACCCCCGCGATAACCGTGGTCTCGAAGAGTACGACCTTCAGGTTCTAGTGAACTTGGGCTCATGTACTGTTCTTGCTGCCTTCGGCTGGGGGGTGATTGACCACTTCGTCGACCGGGAAGAACACCATCTCCCCAGGATAATGACCTGGGCGAGGCGGTTGTTCTCGACGTGCCGCCGGGTATTGGTGGGGGTGGGGGTGGAGGGGCTGCACCCCGATAGCTTGTGGGTGAGTATGCCGTGGATGAAGACGATGCAAATTGCGGGTTTTCAATCATTTGACTTCGACTCATGGTGGATCGACCGCTTTCCACAGTGCTGGCATTGCTCGGAGACGGCAGGATCGATCGTGGTTGGTCTTGTATCCGATGCTGTGGTGATCGTGGTGGATGATGAATGTGTTTGCCTTTCTGATGTTCCACAAAGTGTTGCTGAAGCTGTTGTCTTCGACTGGGAGAACTGCTGTGCTGTCTCCTCTTATTCGTTGGGGATGGCACATCATTCGTCTGCACAGTCAGCCCACTCTTGTTCTTGCTGCCTTTACGGGGACTCGGAGGCGGTGGGGGAGGGGGGTCCAGTGACATATCCGCCAAGTGATCCATCACGGTGCCTCTAGGCATTTCCAGATTAGCATCCCACTCCCTTCGACGATTGGGAGAAGGCTGATCCCTCCCAATTCGCCCTCGACCACGTGCAGTTGTGTTAACATTGTCTCTCTGCTCCACTTCCAAGTCTTGCGATGAATACCGATTGTCTTGGCGCTGCTGCTGTTTGCGCAATTGCTGCTGCTGCCGTATTTTCTCGGGAGATATTCTTCCAATCACCTCATCCCGTACAGATACCAATGGCTTGGCGTTCTGGTTGCTACTGCTACCCTTTCGCCCAGTTCCAGTCGCAGCAGTATGCACGTGTGATTGTAATTTCTCCTTGATTTCCACATGACGGGTACCTTTCCGAGTGGAGGGTGACAGAGATCTCAGTCCTCTCATCGGAGATGATGTTGACATTGCCTTGATACCACGACGTACGGCCTGTAATGGTTGCTTGGGTTTCGTCATGTTAATGACTAATAGATACCCAAAGCTTCTAATCCGTCAAAGCCCAAACCCCCCAGCTAGAGCACGGGAAACCACACACACACAACACGGAGAGCCACACTACAAGTCCACAAGCCACAGGCACTTTCCGTGTTGGCACCTGAGGCCAGACTAAGCAACGGATTCTTCCCCTCTTCGTTTCACGTTGCCTCTTTGTTGGTCGTCGTTGTCGCTGTTGTCGTAATATAATGTTCCCAGAAGGAGGATGCGTTTTAGGTCAATGCATCATCCATGGATTACATAGCTTGAATGCTGATGGCGGGGATGGTGCGCTCTTTTCTTCCTTACCAAAGACGGCAGGCCACAGCACCAACCTTGACCTGTATGGCAAATCAGTAGCACCGTGCTCGCTAAAGAGCAACCAAACGATGAGAGCAGCGGAAAGGCGAAATCGGCTGGCTATGTAACTATACCGAAGAATTATAAAGGAATGTGACTATACATTTTGAGTACAATACAGCCGCCAGCATGGCTAATGTTATGCTAAATATGAAGACGTTTATGCTCTCTAGATAACCCTCGCTCTGTGAGTGTGCTTAAGCACCGGGTATCGCGATACATCCGACGAGGCAGGCTCGACTTGATACTTACGGTACCATCCCACATTTTGGATCCAATTTCATTGGACACGTACAGTACAGGAAGGCGATATTGGACATGGACACAGACACAGTAGATACCGGTAGCTCCAGCAATCGGAACGGAGGCACCGATACCAGCGGAAATACCAGTTAACTCGTAAGGTACTCTTCTATCAAAATCAGCCTGAATGCAAGCCAATATCTTGAACCAGACCATACCGGTGGCTTGTCTGCGTCACAGCTGGCACCGTTCTGACGCTCGGTTGTTTCGCTCCTTTGATGCTTCCAGTCTCGAGCCGAAGTCTGAGACAGGTAGTGTGGTACCGGTATTGGTACCGATTCCGCTTAGATACTGATACTGCCGTAATATGCCTATCGAACTTGTTTACCCACGGCGAAAGCCTGGAGAAAAACCAGTCTGACCTTCAGGCTTGATAGAGATTCAATCGATCATCGAGGACACACTCAAAATCCCACTTTGACGACAGTATGGGTACAAGCACGGACATCCATAAGCGAAGCAACCATGAAGGGCTATCATGATCATGCATCGAGCCAATTCAGAGCGAGGATTCTCCGGACGAGGTTTTGCATGGATGAAACACCTTGCTTCAAACCTAGTTGCTGCCCTCCCTCTCATTCGTAGTGGGATCTCCTGCATGCCAATAAGGCACCAATGACTCAATGGGCACAAAATTCAAAGCCAGCCATACTGCCCATCAACCGAGCAAGGAATGTATCCTCACAGGGTTCTTGTCCTGAAAACAATGCCACTGGTGCATCTGCGGAATGGATATTGGGCTGCTCTGTCCCTCAGAGACTCGCAGAAGAAGAGGTGCGCTTGGGTGATCGAGGTGTGCCATCGCGACGTGCCTGGGAGCCATCACTCCAACGGGTGCTGCTTTCTTTCTTCATTGATACATCATGGCGGCTTGGAACGCCTTGGTGGCGGATGCTTTGGACCGCCATAGTTGGGATTTCAATTACTTTTGGGATGCGCATGTTTCGGCAGCAGTAATGGCTCGGTGGAGATGTGTGTGGGAAAGACTATAAGTTGACCACCAATTCTTTTTTGTGTGGGAAAGACAGGCCAGAGTGGAGGCATCGCAGGTCATCCCTGATTAACATTCACTAGCTATTCATTGTACATGTACTGTACCAGTACCGGTACGGTAGCATGCCGGTAGACAAAGTACTACATGATGTACTCCGCTGTACGTTCGTACATCATCTCCTCGCACTTTTAAAAAAATCTTTTTGCTCCAGCAGTCTTTTGTTAATCAACAATGCGAACACAAGCAATAAAGACATTGAATTTCTCTTTCTACGTCTTTCAGAAGGCTTCTGCGAGCAAAGAATGCATAGGATATAACATTGTCATCCGATTTTGGCAACATCATTGTCACTCATCGTCACTCATCGTATTAGTTTAAGTGTCAATCGAAACACACTTCAAGGCAGACCTTTAAACCTGATTGCGCATTCAACATTTGGATTATGACCATTTAGAAAGTGCGCGTAACACAGAGAACAAATTCGTCATCACCATCATTTTTATCAATTGCAGCAAAAAGTGAGTATTCTAAATATAACCATGATCAAAAACCACAAAACCACCACAGCCTTGTATCGAAAGAGTTGAAAGACTGGCAAGAACTGGGCGAGAAAGATGACGGATGAAACGAGCACTACTCCTTTGAGTTGGAGAGTCAAAGACGTCGTCGCTTGCTCCAACGCAGAGGAGTTGCGGAAATACTGTAGGTGTTCTACAGGTTTGCCAGGTTCTTTTAGAATGTTTGCTTTTGGAAGAATAACTGGAAATAGAAGAATGAAACAATCCGGAAGAATGACACAATCTGGAAGGATGACACAATCTGAGTGGCTCTACGTAATAACACGTAGAGATTAGTACAAGGTGATGTAATCTGGAAGAATGGCATAATATGGAAGAATGACACAATCTAAAAGCATGACTCAAAGTGGAAGATTAACCCAAACTAGCAGTTTGACCCAAAAGAAGTGGAGGGAAAGCCCATTCTCCGCAACTCCAGAGAGTTAAGTCCTCCATTGCATCGCTCAGCCACCGTGCATCGGATAGCGCACAAGTTGAAGTCAATCCCTGCTAGCTAGTCCCGTAGCATCATTTCCCTACTGTCAATGGCCAGATTCATTTCATCAATACCAGTATGCCCATTGTTGGCTGTTCCACACTTTATGCCAGTACAGTGCCAGCTTTCCCGTGCCTACAAAACAAATTTAATTAATCTACTAAAGCATGCACCAGTTTAGGTTTTCACATATTATGGGAGAGTGGAGCCATCGGACTCTGTCCGGAATTTGGAGGCCACCATCCAGCTATAGCTATTCTATTAATCGCATGTGAGCCCATCCCTGCAGCTACGATTTCTTCAACTGGGCTTTGTCCCTATTTTTGGTTCCTTCTGGCAGCCACAGCCAACCAGTGAGCGAAAGATGGCCTGTGAAGGACCAATGGCGGCAGCCAGGGACTCTCAGGATTTCCAAAGCTGGAGCAAACTGCATCTAGTTAGAATAATGCACACGTCATAGAGCAGGATAACCATTATCATCCCACCACTTGTTGCCACCAGCAGCCTATATTTTCGTGGCCTTCTCAGCATTTCAGCATTCCCAATCTCAATTATGCCCCATGCTTGGTTTGTGTTGAACAAAAGATTGACCACACCTTTCTTCTCCAAAGTCCTGTGTTAGGCAATATCCTTTGTGCAACCCATTCTGAGCCTGTCAAGGGTCATCAACCATGAGAATCCCCTTTGTGAAAGCTGCACTTATTTCAGAGCAGCATCCCTGGATAGCTAGAGCACCAGATACATTGCTCTGCCATTGCTTGGCGTCACCTACTAAGGAATTCCTTTGTCAATGATGAAGCACCTATATATGCTCTTGACGCAACTTCTCCAAAGAAATGCTGGTTCTGTTAGGGCTCCTGGTTAGCCTTATAGTTGCCCGCTTGGCTGTCATAGCAACCAAATTGCCTATAGTTGTGCTAAGTAGTAGGTGTGAGTGGAAGCTTGGAACGATAGGGATGTAATTCTTTGAAACTTGCTTGCTAAAACTGGTTGGTTGCGCTGACTCTGTTTGAGCCCAGCCCTGAACCACTCCAATTGGAGCCCAATGAACCTCTCCTTGTTTCCAAAAAGCCAGCTCAACAGGGGTGTCTTACATATGAATCACCTCTTATGCGCCTCAGCATCCCACACATTGGAACTGGCCCTCCAACCTAGCATTCACGAGCAAAGAGCTGGCTTGTACAAACAAACAAAAAGCCTTGTGTATGAAATATACATTTAGAATAGAACACACTAACAGTGATGCAGCATCTGCAAACTCCAATTGTACTACTGATGATCACTTGCAAGGACACACTGCATTTCTTGCACCTGCTGCTGCTCTCTGCCTCTGTTTCCTCAGTTCCAAAGCAGGAATCTTCCTTCGAAACCAGTGCTTGAACCATTCGAGATGCAAGGGCAGTCACACCCACGTAAATCAACAAAACAATCAAAGTCAAAGAAGGATGAGTCCAGTTCACACAATTGCAGTGGAATAATGCCAGATAGTGCATTCATGGACACATTGAATAATGTAATCTGTTCCAGGGAGTCAAACTCTGGGATCGACCCTGCCAGCCGGTTGTGTGATAGGTCCAATTCAACTATCTTGTCCAGCATTGTTAGTTCACTTGGCATAGTTCCACTCAATTTATTCCGGGCCAATAAGAGCTTTTCCCATGCAGGAAGAACTCCCAGCTCACTGGGAATTGTTCCTGTTATGAGGTTGCCACTGAGATCCAAGGTGGTGTAGACTCTGAAACAGCAATTCCAGGGACAGTAATTGCTTGCTAGAGTCCCATTCACAAAACCAATTTCAGAGAGAATGCTACCACTGAACCTGTTCTCAGAAAGCCGTAAATGCCTTACAGTTGTCATGAGGAATATTTCTGATGGAATCCAGCCACTCAAAGCATTGTATGTTACATCAAACACCTGCAAGAGATAGAGAGAGAGAGGGATTTGCTTAGGAACTGAGCAAATGCATTGAGGGATTCTGAAGATAATTCAGAAGTCTCTTTAAGTTACCTCCATGTAGGGGAGCTGCCCCAGCTCTGATGGCAGTGGCCTAGTAAGTTAGTTTCCCAGGAATAGCTTGTCGAGGAGTCCCAGTTCAGATGGGATAGAACCTGTATATCTGTGTGTTCCAAATGGATGCATGAAGTAAGTGCAAATCCAATTTAGCAGCTGCCAAAAACAGGTGCAAGATCTTTGGCAGGTTACGGTACCTGTTATGATACAGCAAGAGGATTTCCAAATCGGAAAGCAACCCAATCTCTGACGGTATTGGACCAGAAATGAGAAAGTTTCGAATGTAGAGCTGTTTGAGGGCTTATTAGCCATAATGGAGGAATGGAATGATTTGATGGCAAAATGTCAGAATGAACAACCAACTGAAATCAGCAGTGCAATACACGGCTCTTAGCCTTATTCGCGACTCGATCCTAGATAGGGTTTGAGTTCAACTCATGACTGAGTCTCTCGTGAATAGTCATTTGAGACAGGGTTCTCAATGACCGCGCTGGTCATACTAGGTTGATGAATGAAACATCGCTCTTAGATATTTAGCCAGCGTGGAGTACTTCCACGCTACTAGATCCAGACTGACAACTTCCACGCGTTACGTTTTAGGAATCGTGGAGAGACGTAGGATTCTACCGCAACCTACTCTATCACACTTTATAGTCTCCCGCGGGAAGCCAGATCTACGATCCCTTGATGATGATCTCTCTCGTTGATTAGTTTTCATAGCTTTCTAATCTCTCTCATAACTTTCATTCTCTCAAACTCAAAAACACTCGAAAGATCTTTACACTAGCTTTTAGCGTAGTGCAGCAGCCTTTACGCCAAAGGACAAAAGTCACAACTCACATGTCATGCCACCAATCGCTGTTGCTGGTAGAGTACCGGTGATGAACTTGTGCTCTCCATATTTCACCAATGCACCCAACACAAGAGTCTTGAGCGACGGAAGCTGGAAGACTTGTACTGGGATTGTCCCGGTGAATGAAGACCAAATTAACGCCAGTTCCTGGAGGTTAGACAACATCCCAATCTCGGTTGGGGTGGTTCCCACAAGGTCTGGATTACTCTCCAAGTGCAGCCGCTGAAGCAATGGCAAGCCCCAAAAGAGTTCAAGTGGGATTGTTCCTTGGAGCTCGTTTTCCTTCTGTGCTAGGAACTGAATGTTGTCATTCCTGTCGCATACATCAACTGTTGGGAAGTCATACAGAAAACGATCCGTCAGCACTGGCTGCAAGTTCAAAGACATCCATTCACATTCGTGACGTTCGTGGGATAGCCATCTATCTGTCTGATTCCATCCTAAACCATTGGTAGCATAGAAGATGTTGCCAAGGCAAAGCGTTGTCGTAGACGTTCTTGAGTGTAGTTGCCTCCCAACATTTGATCTTCCAACAACCACTCATAGGCTTTGGCCTGAGTTGAATTCTCGTCCTCCATGATGGCCCACACCGTGTAGTCGGGAGGATCCAGGAAGGCAAGAAGATCCTGCGTGGGCGAAATCGTTTCAATGCTTTTGGCGTCGCTGTCCACCGTAGCACCGCCTTGCTCATTCTGAGTATTTTCCTTGTCAACAAGGATTAGGGAACAAACCAGCACAACGATTCCCACGACAAGAACCAAGAGGCCACATCCTGTGGCCAACTGACGAGCAATTTTTCGATCCCCATGGGCACGTCGAGCGGAAGACCGGCGTCGGGCTTCCTCCTCATCAACGAGTTCCGCTTCTTCACGTTCTCTGGTTGCGGATTCATCTACAACTTTCCGGGCTTCCACCAAACCCGAGTCGTCGTTGCCAATACTACGACTGGACAGGCGAGGAGGAAGTGCGCTCTGCTGCTGGCGTTGCAACAATTCATAGCTCAGTTAGTTATTCAGTACGACTTGGGATCCTGGCGTGGCACTGTAGGCACCTGGCACACCCACAAACGCACCAGGTCCGGCCATGGGTGTTTGGCGAGCCAATTCCAACCAGCGCGAGGGTATCGTCACTTCATTGTTGTCTTGCTGGTGCTGCATCGAAGGGGTCTTGATGGTATCTTCCATCGCAGCTCTATTCAATTCTTCGAGATCCACCGAGGATGTCACATTCATTGGCTTGTCGTTGTTCCGACATTGTTGCTCTAGCCTTTTGGCCACAATTTGCAAAACGTCAAAGTCATCAGTTGGGCCACTATTACTACAATCGGCTGCCGTTGTTGATGGTGGTTGCAATATCCCCACCGCGAGCTCGTCAGCGTGACCCTGGCCCTCCTTGAAGTTGACATTTGGGTCCTTCGGTTTGCCATTCTCAAGATCTGTCATGCCAGGGCCAGACATCTTCATCTGATCATCACCATGCACCGACTCAAACTTCTTCTTTGCATCCATTTTCTCGGTCACCGTGGTCAGCGGTACCGGAGCGCGTCTTTTGGGTTTTGGGAGCTGTTTTGGGTTGTTGGAAGGATTTTTGGAGTTGTGGTGGAGCTGGATGCAAAAGGCTTTGGGATCTAATCCACTAGCCATGATCTAATTGAGGTAGATGAGATAACTACTACTAGTATAAATTTGTATCCACTTGTAGCAAGTTAACCTCAACGATCTGTGGAGAAAGTCCTCTTTGGCGTTTGAGGACGCAGGAGGGCGTCATATCTTATCTACTAGTTTGACCGTTTGACCATGTCAACAATTGAAGAATAGAATTCTATTTTAAGGCTACTCTGAGTACGACTGTCCACCGTGCCGCTACCCTAAACTGATAACCCCCACAAACATTGGGGCAGAGAGAGTTGGCCCCCAAAGCCGGGAAAGTTTAAAACCCAACCGAGGCAAGATATTAAGGGGGAAGGTCACCAACCAGACCCGCCCGTGCTGCTGCTGTCATCAGCACTGCTACTAGCTGCACTATTGCTGATAGTGTCAACACTGTTGTCATCTAAATCAAGATCAGACCCGAAAGCCTGATCCAAAGTTGCTGCTGCCTAGGGGTTTAATTACTTATTTAGGTTAACAACCTATTGGGTCCGGAGGACCTTTTTCTACGCTGGCAATAGTTGAGCCCGAGGGCCCAAATAGCTGAGTCGTATACCATTGATGAATTGCACGATAGGAAGATTCACGGTGCACACCAAGCGTCAACACTGAAGGAGGATATGCCACTCATAGTAGCACGGCTACACTATCCTATAGTCTCACCGCCGTTCACCTCCGCCCCATGAACAAGGGGCAGGTCCCTACAGCTCTACTTACAACGGAAGTGTGCATCTTCCCATCATGACCTGGAGCACGGTGGCCTAGCCAGGATTTAACCTATTAGAAGGGCGCTGATCGACAACAGTCATCATCGATCCACCTCCACCACAGGTGCGTCTGAGTGATCAGGTCCCATGCTGTGGCCATTGCCTTGTCGTGCAAGGCAAGATGCCAGCAGAGTCTATAGGCGGTGGCGCACCTAAGACTGGACCATGTCAGGGTATGACCTATCCAGTGGGCGAACAATGTCAGGCAAAAGCCGACAAAGAGCCATGCGATAGGGCCAAGTGACGCACTGGCAGGCAGTGGCTCCCAAAGGGGAGGCACAGTGTCTGCTGGGGCGGTGTGGACTGTAAGAGGGATTGTGGGGTGGATGTTGGAGGGGTGGTTGTGGGCTGTATGTGGTATGGTGCTGGAGGGAGGAGGGTAGGATGTGTTTGCTGTGGGAGGCATGATGGTTGGTTGATGGAAAGGTTGTTGTATCGTGTAATGTTGCCTGTCGGGTCGTTGCTGCAACTCAAGCACAGGGATTGCTTGTGAGGTGGAGAGGAGGAGTAATTCGAAGGAATCTATTCAAGGAGGCCAATGCTCTGGGGCACTGGCAATCAGGGTATGGATCAAAGCTGTTGGGTGGAGATGGCCACTGGTTCAGAGGCTGGGTCCCAATCTAGTACAGTTACCACAAACTGCAAAAGGAAGGGATCAAAGCCAAAGGCTGATAGGGATTCTTTCAGGGAAAACTGGAGAAGTCACGCTATAACTAGTAGAGGCAGTGGTGGGGGGATCAAGGGGTGTTGTTGGTTGATGTGGCTGTGTTACTGGTTGACACTGTGTTGTCTCAAAAGGCTGGTACTCAATCTGGTGAAGGCCACCACAGACTTCAACAGAGAGTCAAGCCAAGATTTGTAGAGGGTACTCGATTCAGTGGAATGGACAAAGACTGAGGAGTCACTCAACAATCAGCTAGAGAGGTAATAGAGTCAGGCGGTGGTTGATATCTGAGCCACACCACGCTGCAGTTCTGACTGGGGCTCAATCCTTTGGAGTCAGACACACTCAGTAGGAGAGTCAGGAGCAGGAGCAGAGAGGTAGCTGGTTCAATAAAGGGGGTGTTGCACAATCTAGCTGTGATGCTAGAGGGGCAACTTTTGTTGGTTCTTGTGGGGGTGAGATCCTTTGGAGAGGAGCTGGATATCCCAGGGGGGCTGTAAACCGACCAAGAAAGCAGCCGAGCCTGGAGATAGCAGAACTCAAGTCCTTACAGGAACTCTGTTGTTGTTTGTTGTTCCTCTGGGAGAGGAGTTAGATATCAATGGGGGAGTGGTAACAGTAGCAGGAGGTATCAGTGCCAACAAGGACGTCGGGAGAAACCACTAGTGGCCAGTGAGAAAGTAAGAATACAGGTGTAATTCTCTTCTCGGTGGTCACTGCAGGTATCTCGTGAAGTCCTTCTTGATGATAGTAGAGGCTGAAGTTCGATCCGAGGAAGAGGTACGTAGAGGCTGAAGTTCGATCCGAGGAAGAGGTG